CAGTTTTCCTCCTGACCCTGCTTGTTTTTTCCACAGTAACAGTATATTGGTTTTCCACAACCAGGCTGATTATAGAGATAAGTTGTTAAGTTACGACATGGGAATTTCCCATGGACTGGAAGGGTTTATTCAGAAACACGTTTCTCATTCTATTCATTGGGCAGAGATGTTGGTGAATTAAGACATGCTTTACCATTACAGAAAGTGAGTCGATGAGGGTCTTCTTTGGACAGGTGTCCATGAACTGCTGCTCAAGAACTCCTGTAAGACCACAGCAGTCCAGCTATAATAGAAAACAGAAAAAGAGAACCAGGTTAAATAATTCTTATTTTTGCTCTGTATTTGGTAAAAAGAAGAAATAGGTTACATTAGGTTGCATTACAGACCTTATGCAAATTTACTTAGAAATCCTGCCAACGTGACTGCTATAAATCTAATTTTAAAAATCCTTTATTGCATTAAAGGACAAGATTATGAAAGGAAGAGCTAGATCATGTTAAGTATACACACATTAATTTTGGTAACAGCTTGTACTCCTTACAGACACTAAGGTGAACTCCTCATACACACGCAGGTGCCTCTAGATCAATACCACAGATGTAGTTTCCCAGCTTGCTTCTGAGTTTTAGGAAAACAAGAATAGTTCCATGCATTTCAGAGGTTCAGAGGGACAAAAAAGCATGCTGAATTCACTGATACTATACAAAAATATCTCTGCAATTTGTTACCAATACTCCTTTGGTTTCTTGTAGTTAGCAAGATACTAGACTTGTACAGGGGACAGGATGACACGGAAAACAAGTGTGAACAAGCTCCATTACTGTCTAGTTTATGTATAACCATGTACTTACAGCCAGCTGAAATGCTTTCAGGGTCTCTCTGGCACCTGGTTGAGATCTCTTTCCATAGGTTTCCCTGTAGAAGTCCTTTAATTCTTCAATAACCTACAGGATAGCAGAGTTGTGGTGTATTACTGTCTTACCTGAATATTCATCATGGAAAACTTGCACTGAGTATGTAATAAAAAATTCTGCAACCTACAATACCCATCCTCCTGACACATAGAAATAGAGGGTGGACAGCATTTCTGAGCCAGAACAGGTGAGCCTAACTGGTACACTCGCCTTAAAAGCCACACCTAAACAGATAAGATTCAGTTTCCCTTCCAAAGCTCTGAGCTGCTAGGAGGAGTGAGAGAACCAAGTCTTTGCCCACTAGTTACACAAAAATACTCCCTATTCATTTCCCCAGAAGTTGCTATATTCCCCTGTTGTGTAATACAAGCAGAAAAGCAACCCTGATCACCAAGTACCATGTTTTAGATACAGAAACATTCAGCCCATAACTGACCCAGCTCATATCTAGAAATGGTAAAGCTTTACTGATGGCCCACCTCACAGCTCAGCCAGGTACTGCCTGGTGGAGGGCATCTCTAGCATGAAACAGCATCTGGGATTCTGGATTCTCTGCTAGAGTCTTGTTTTTTAATATTAGAGTTTAATTTCTTGTATTTTTTGCTAGAATGCATCTTATTCTTCTCCCCCAAATTCCCTGGGTAATCAGACTTTGACTAGAACTGGTACATATTTCAGTAGACTGCCAGCTTTCTGCGGGCACAGTCATAGAATCCCAGAATGGTTTAGGTTGGAAGGCACCTTCAAAGATCACCTAGTCCAACTCCCCCATCATGGGCAGGGACATCTTTCACTAGATCAGGTCCCATCCAACCTGGCCTTGAACACTTCCAATGATGGGACATTCACAACTTCTCTGTGCAACCTGTTCCAGCATCCCACACCACCCTGCCAACTTTCAAAAGCAACCTACCTTTTCTTTATTTGCAAATCCCCAAATTGCAGCAGCAATTTCAAGGGCAAAAATCACAAAAAGGAAGAGGAAGAACTAGAAAAGAAAGACCACATCATTAATAAGACCACAGCACCACAAAACAGCATCTCACATGTATACTGCAAACTTGTCCAGTCCCCAGGGCCAGCCTTGTGGGAACCGTCACTCAACCAGGTTCCAGTTGGAGGTCTGAAACACTGGTAAGACTAGGAAAGAGAACACACTGCACTGTGTCAGCACTTCTTCCCAGGAGCATCAGAAAGCCTGGCAGTGTTTCCTAAGCAGAACTCCTTTTTGATCAGTGTTAATTAAAAACAATCAGCTGTTAACTCAAACTTTGAAGTTGCCCATGTCATTCAGGCTCATCACAACAGCTGACACCAATTCTTTTCTCTGCTTTGTCACTCCTATTGCTTTAGGAGTCATCACTTAATACCTAGCTTGCCACCAACTCCCAGAGCACTAATGGCCACTTTGTTGTGTATCCCATAAAATAGAAATAAGTGTAATCTCTGTGTTTGACTACCAGGTCCAAAACACCACTACGATTTAAAGGAATTTTAAAGAGAGATATTCAGAATTACAACAAAGAGCCAGAAGCATCATTTTGCAAAAAATATATGAAGTTAACTTCTTCCATGACACAGAAGGGGAATTGTTCTTTCACCAGCTGTAGTAGTCTTCTATTAACTAAGTTTTCTGATTATTTGGATGAGTAGTTCCACAAGTGTACAGATGTGCATGAACCCAGTAAACTCTACAGGCCCCTCCAGTCTGAAAACAATGAGGTTGCTCTCCAATAATTGGCTTGCAGAGCAGTTATCAACTAGAAGAGCTCATCCTACGATTATGAACAGTAGAGGTTTGTTGTTTCAAGGATCAAATACCACAGTTCTAGTCTCCAGGATTAAAGACTGCACAGCCTTCAGAGTTCAGGACAAACTGTTAATAAATAGCATTACTGCTATCAACATTTTATTTCTGTCTTCACATATACTCCCAAGTCTTGATGCTTCAATGTCTGAATGTCTCTAGCTTCTGAAGTCACCTGGTATTGAAATACAACATGGACATTTGGAGTTGGGGCCAGAAATGGAAACTATATTCAACATTTCAGCATTACGTAGGTGACCATGAGTTTAAGTGTTGTGTAGCCAAAACAGTCAGCATCTGCTGCCCTCTAACTGCATGGTAATCTTTTCCTTTCTCATCATGCTGCTAAAAATTTAAACAATACTCTGAATGCTTACCAGGCCAAGCATACATTGAGATTCTTGCAACGCACCACAGCATCCCAAGAAACCAACCAGCATCATAAGTGCACCAGCTCCAATAAGGATGTAAACTCCTAGGGAGGAGAAAAAACAAAGACATGTATACAGGCTAGTTGAGACCTCAGCAGCCAGGTATAAAATTAGTTGCTCCACAAACAGCATTTGTAGCTTTTGCCAAGATTTAAGTTTCCTTACAGAGGTGTTCCAAGCAAAAAAAAGTGCTGTGCTTAATTTTCAAAGCAAACACATCTCAAAACTTGTGGGGAAATGTATTGAAAATAAAAGCTTCAACTTACAACAATTTATGTGTACCACTACTGCAGTTTCAAAAGTTTTAGAAAATCGGCAAGATAAAGCCATTTAAGACAAGCTGTAAGACACATTCTAAAACTGGCTCAGAGCCAGTTACCAACTTATCTTCAGATGAAGAGTGTGTTGCAGTTAGAGACAGCTGGAACCAGTGATTTTTCAACATCTGAGATTTCTTGAAGCATGCTACCTCCAGTAGAATGGGTATGAAAAGGCATAATAATCACCTGTCATAAGGCTTTAAATGCTTTCCTACCCTACTTTTCCATCACGAAACACTGAATTCTTCCACCAGCCAGTGATACAAGTCTACACTTCAGCTGCCCAACTTGACAGCCTCTCTAACTACAAGAAACTCTGCATCTTCAGATTTTGCAAAAAACAGATACTTCTTCAAACCATACCAAGTGGCTGTGCCTGTAGACCATTCTGCCCACAATTTAGGTAGTAAGTGTGTTGGAGCACAGAGGGCAAAAATTTTTGGGCTAAAAGACTCCATTTATGCCCAGTCCTCTCCTCTAAAGCTTGGGAACTGCCAGCTTAAGCATTACAACTGTTAGCTGGCGAGAGTAGCAAGATGTAGCAAGCAAAACAACTCCCAAAGAATGGCAAAAAAGTATAATTGGGGTGGTGAAACACGAGACAAAGAATCAGCACAAAGCATGTAGAATTAGTATGACATTTCTATCAATGTAGACAAAAAACACAGTTCTGGCCTTCAGAGACCCAGTCAATGCTACCTAAAGGAAGCCATATGTAAGCATTTGCAAATGATATTTTCTAAATGCAAACCGATAAGATTAGCTGCTGAAACAAACATCTACTTGATTAGGCGTATGTAAGTGATAAGGCCCAACATCTTATCAGCAGTTTTTTTTGCATAAACTTTTTCTATTTTTGAAAAAAAAAAAAAAAAGTCCATCAGTTTATTTTCAGCAGTATAGAAAGCTTTGGAGGTAACTTGCTTTGTTATTAGGTGCAAATTGACAGATTCTTTCAATTTCCTATTGGAAATTGCAGTCAGTAACTACCCCCAGAAAAAAATTGTTAAAAAAGTTTAATAAGAATTACTGTTACAAAACTCAGTTCAACCTACAGAGGTTTCAAGTAGGTTTCACCGGCTGCATTCAGCCAGTAGCTTAAGTATCACATCATAAAACTTTTATGTTTCATGAGGTTGAAGAGTAGTTTTAGACTACCCAAAATAAGACTTGTTAAATATTCAGCTCAATGGCTAAGTTTAGATTTCTGTTCCCTTTCCAAGGTCCAGTTGAAAGCATATGGAAATCTTCTTGGCAGCTACAAGAACCCCGTTTGCTACCATGCCAGCATATCAAGGGTGAAATGCAAGCTCTCTCAGATAAGCCATCTGCAAACCTGTGGAGCTGCTCATATGGACCAAGATATTTGTACATCTGTTCCATTGCGTTCAGTATAAGTTAGCATAGATAGGGCTGTAGACAATGGTATGTACGCTCCTTCTGAGAGATGAGGTGATAGTTGTGGGTTTGGGTAGCATAGGCTGGTCACTTTGTGGGGAAAAAAAAATCAGTTATTGATGTCATCTGTGACTATTCAGTTTAGAGTGAAGCTTTGCTGACTCCTATTGTGAGAAGCACAAGGAAGATACCTCCTCTGTGTCAACCGGGAGTCCCTGAAATTACACAACAGCACCCAAAGAGGAACTACAGGGTTTAAGCTGGGAAAAAGACAAAGTGACATACAACGCATAAGCAGCCTGGAAACTGCCAGCGTGACACTGCTGCCGTCTGCACAGGAGCTCGCAGCAGAGGCTGGGCCCCCCGTGCCAGCCAGGGCAAGCTGCTCTCTCTCGCCAAGGCTGTTTTGGGCCATTTTGTCTTTAGCCTTTGAGGAAGATGAAGGTTTTAAGCAGTCCGAAAATCAGGGCACAAAAGCATGATCTGTCACCCCAAGCCACCTCCTAGCTTACCTGTGTAAAACGTCGTATTGTTGGATTCCAGGTCAAAGATGCTTTTGGTCTGCGAGTCAAACCGAAGCCATAGTCCAATTGCAAGAACTGCTGTCCCTGCAAGCTGTAAGAACAAGTAAGCCTTGTTAAATAAATACCAAATAATACATTCTCCCTTGCATTAGTAGCAACGTCAGAAATAAACACAGGATACAGCTCTTACTTAAAAAGCCAGCATAAAAGGACGGGGACATCAAAACAAGAACAAACTTAGTTCCTTAGTGACATGAGGCACCTTGTTTACAGATGCCTTTACATATTAAGCCACAACACACAAGAACAATGCCCTTCTTGTTCTTTACTGAAAAAACTGAGGTTTACAGAAGTCCCAAGTGTCAGTATTTCCACTGACCCCTCCACCCACTGTTTTATTCTGTGTGACTGTAATGACACTGCATGGATTAGTGATCTTGAGTCTTCACACTGAAAGACAAGTGTATCACAAGAGAAAGCCCCTTGTAGGGCCAGCTAAAAGTTTTAGCGTATTAAAGAGACTGGTAAGAGTTCAGTGTACTGCAGTATGGAGTTTAGAAAGAGTGGTCTTTCTTGCAAAAAAAAAAAAAAAAAAAAAGAGAAAACCAATCCATTAAGTCTCCACACGGACAAGAAGATGAAGACAGAGGCTGCTGAAACAATACTGCTGTGTGCTGAATATGGAACAACACAATCAAGTTTTAGATAATATTTAGCTTTATTATACCATTGTCACTGCCTGTGTACCTCCAGGTTCCTTTTAACATGAGTGCTTGTGCTTGCAGAAAGCTGTCGTGTGTATAAATCGGCTTCTGGATGAAACATCTGGCAGAAGGTATTGGAGAAGCATTGCAAGAAAGAGGGAATTGCACACTGGTAAGGCAAATGCCAACAGTTTGCTTTGAACAGACTGAACCCTCCCTGATTTAAAAAGAGAACTTGGGGTCATCTGGCATGCAAAACCAAAAAAGAAACCAGGACAAACTAGGAGGCTGGAGACTGTGCTTCTGAGCTCTTCTTTCTCTCCTTCAAAAACCATTTAGCTACCCAAAGAGAGCTCTACAAAAGTGAGATGAGAACAGAAGTACCACACATTGCAGCAGACATTAAAAATTTAAACTTAGGAGTGAGCAATAAGCTTAGAAAGTCTGTTAAGTCTTGGCTAGGCTTAAGTAAGCATGAAAAGGAAAAGCAGAGCCTCATCTCTGATAAGGAGTTCCTTCTAGAAGGGAACAACATTCTTGATCTGCCTCCAAGAAACTGTTCACTTTAAACCGTGTTTACTTCAAAATATTTACTTTCAGTGAGAATATGGAAGGAATTCCCACAGAAAGCACCCAACACCAAGCCCAGCTCCCCCAGCCCCATGCTCGCCCCATGGGAAGCCCACAAGCCCTTTCTCCCTGCTACAGGAGTGGCTTGCAAGCACCACAGGCAGGGAAAGCTTTGCAGTCCGTGGGTCTGGCCTCCTAGGCTTTGTCTTCCAAAAAAAAAAAAAAAAAAAAGATGGAAAACTTTGAAAAAGCTGTTTTGAAAAAAGAAAACTCTTTCTGAAAAAGGCAGAAAGATTCACACAGGACAAAGAGGATGAAGCTACAGGGCTTAAGGGAAAGTATATCTCTTGTAGCTTCTCAGCCAAAAGCATCCTCACTAAAGGCCTCAGGTATCAGCAAAGGAAGGCGAGCGGCCAGCCACAGCAGAAAAACCAGCATTTCTTGTATGGCAAGCACCTGACTCCCAAGCCTGACCTCAAAGAGGAGCTGCAGGGTTTTAGCTGGGAAAAGAGATGAAGTGATACGCAATGCGTAAAGAGCCAAGCCCAAACAGAGATTTCCAGGCCTATGCAAAAGGCACTTTGTTGGTGTCACAGGTGCGTAGGCTCAGGCTTACTCACAAAGCACACAGCAAGAACAAAGCCTGCCCATACCTACACCTTTCCTTGTTAGGGCTATGCTGTCGAAATAACTTTAAGTTATGCCAGAGAGCCTTGGTAGTAGACAGCATGTCACAAGAGCATTATTATTTCAATTTATCGTGCCGCAGCCCTGGGGAAGGGAGATGTGCAAGAAGGGGACGGGCAGAGAGAATGGTTGCACTCACTGCTAGAGCATCACTTAGAGCCTTCACAACCTCATCTCACTCTAGCACCTCAGGTCAAAAAACCAGAAGGGCTTAGTGATGGGAAAAACCCTCACGCACTGCTTCTAGCCTACAGGTAAGTCACCCAGTATTTAATAATACTGTTTGAGACTCACTTCCCTGGGTTTTCAAACAGTCTTCAGCTTTTATAGGCATCCACATCTGAAGCATTAGGAGAACAAACCTACAGCCTCTACTTGTTTTGCTAGGACTCACGAATTGCAAAGTCACAAGCATAAGCATACCCAGCTGTCTGCACCTACCTACGTTTATGGTTTGACAAGCCTCAGCGTTTGAGTAGAGTGCTCACGACAGCGCTGCAAACCAAGCAGCAGACAGCAAAGGGCTATAAAGCTAAACCCCAGACCTGATCCCCCAGCAGAGCTTTAAGGCCAGACTATTCAAATAGTGAAGAAACTCTAAACCATTCTACAGCCATGTAGATAATCTTACAAGCCCAAGCAAAGCAGAAGGCTCAGTTAACGATCTCTGAGAAACTAACTGGTTGGTTAACATTAGGGAGAGCTGACGTACTTAATATAGCTCCTTTTAAAAAACAGACTTATCTTGGGGGGGGGGGGGGGGGTTAAGTATCATGTTTTCTCCTTGGAAAAGCAGTCATCCTGTGATAAGAAGTTATTATCACTGGAAAGCAAGAGACTTATTATGGATCACAGAATAGCAGTAACACTATGTCAGTGAACTGCTCCAGATCACTAAAAAAACGTAGGATTAAATTAAGTGATCATTCTCTCCATGGTGGACTAGAAAAAAAACCCCACAGCTCCTTCATGCAAGAAAAAGCGACCTTTTGTCTTGGTTTAAGGAAAGCAGACTTGTGTTCTCAGTTTGTGCTCTTCCTAACCACAATGTCCACTGATCTAAAAAAAGGCCGTTTTAAAGCAGAAGGCGAGAAACTTCAAGTTTTCATCAAAATGAGAGACTGGGGCACCAACGCCAGCCTCAGAGGAAGAGGCAAGCACAGCCCCACGGGCACCCCCAGCACTTGGCAGCATCTCAGACCAACCTGGCACACCGGAGTCTGGTACGCAGCTGCCTTGCTGCTCACCAGTAGATTTTGGCAGCCATGTTGGGGTGGGTTTGGTAGCTGTTTTTCTTCCCTGGGAGAGGAGTGTGAGCCCCCCCTGCCAGCTGCATGGAAGCAGATCCCCTGAAGAGCCAGTTGTTGGGTTTTTTAATCCAAGTGTTTTCCCAACCTAACAGACCTGTTTTGTCATAGGAGTTGAGTAATACAGGATATTTCTAAGCAGATCTATCCTGTGCTGAAAAAGAAATTTAACAGAAAAATAACACAGCTGTTTTCCTGAAGCCAGCCACTGTGTGTGTGCAAAAAAAACCTACAAAACTTAAGAGAAAGGTTTGTGTGCTTATGAAACATGTAAGCAGTACATTTCTGTAGTAGCAAGTATAGGAAAAGGAACTTGGAGGACATTATTTTTTTCCAAGCAAAGATGAAAATACCTGGTTATTCTTCCTCTAGTCCTATGGAGGCTCCTTGGATTTTTTGGGTTTTTTTTTTTGGTATCACATGAAAACATAACTCCATTGCCTCAAAGGCTCTACTCCTGCATCCACCTTTCTGCTTGTGGCAATGGGAAAAAACAGCCTCCTTTTTTGGTCTGTCTGCCTTTCCTACATAGCCCTGCACCTTCTCTAGTGAGCCTGATGTGCAGTACTTCCTTCCTCACCCCAGCCAGCCCCACAGTCTGACCAGTGCCTTCTCCAAAGTCAGCCCCTTCCATCACTCTGGTCTCCCCCTTGCAAATGACACGCTTTGGCCTCTGAGTGTATCTAAGGGTGTGTCCCAGTATTTATCTTCAACACCCTGCTTTCTTTTAGCCTTCCATGTAACAAGAGAGAGCTGACAAAGGATCTGTACCACTGCAGAGGACAGTTGCTATACACTGGAGAGGAGAACAACCCATCTATCCTGGAGGCAGAAGCCATACAGAACACTGCCTTCACCATGAACTTGGCACATTCAGTGCTGAGGCATGCTGTCAAGCAATTCCCACTGATTTTTTTTTCTTTAACAGCTGAGGTTTCACAGATACCATCTCCTAGCAGAAGGCTAGCACAGGGAATCATTAGATTTAATGATACTGGTGTAAACACATTAAAAGCTTCTGCTTTTCAAGCTAGAAATTCCATTTTTTTAACATATCCTATGATACAGCAATGCATGGCACTACTTTGGGAAGCTGGAAAGTTTATCTCGGGCTTCAACCACTATTTTGCAAGGACCATTATGTTCAGTCCCTTCTGACCTTGTCCTCTTAATCCATCCTGAGAAACCACAATCCCCAGCCAAGCACCCCACTTGCTGCAGACACCTTACAGCATCTTACCTTTTCACAGACAGAACTGCCTCTCAAGGGGCGCAAGGTCCAAGCAGTTAAGTCCTTATAGCTGGCAGATAAAGCTTAGAGAGTGGGACATTCCCCCCCATCCCAGCATCCACCAGGTTACTACCAGCCCTTCCTCCACTTCCACAACATGGATGCAGGGATAGAGAAGAAATGACACACTGCAAGAACTCCTGATACATGGATCAAAGGCTGTAAAAAAGCCCTTGTACAGGAAACTACAGGTTCTGCCTATTTTTGCATGTAAGCTTTGCCTGAACATGCTACCTCCATCAAGTTTGTGGCATTACCTCTAGTAGAAGGTAAATCAACATGTGGAAATACAGTACAGTCAGTAAAAAATAAATACTACTTTCAATGTTGTCAGCTCAGCACTGCATCTAGAAGTCAACTTATTAATTTTTTTTTTCTTTAAGTAAGAAGTCAGGCTCTACATGACTGTTCCTTACACAGGTTTTACCCAGGGTGTGCCAAGATTACAATGGAAAAGCCACTACCTTCTCTTCACCTCATAAACACATAAAAACTTTTAGCCAGAAATCTG